TCTTCTAGGTGTAATGAGCCACCAGTATGGTCCCAATTAGCTAGAGCACAGTTGCAACAAGGTTTGGTTAAAGAAGCCATAGACAGTTTTATTAAAGCAGATGACCCATCTGCATATGTAGATGTAGTAGAAACTGCTCATCGAACTTCTCATTGGGAAGACTTAGTTCGTTACTTGCAAATGGCTCGCAAGAAAGCACGTGAATCTTTCATCGAAAGCGAATTAATTTATGCATATGCAAGAACCAATAGACTTGCAGATCTTGAAGAATTTATTTCCGGTCCTAATCATGCCGATATACAAAAGGTTTCAATTTTGTTATATATAATTTATATTCTACATGCAGTATTTTATTTAAACACAAGACAAACATATCTTTTTCTGTGAATTTAATATTGTTTATTTTTAGATTGGCGATAGATGTTTCGACGACAAAATGTATGATGCTGCTAAACTTTTGTACAACAATGTGTCAAATTTTGCACGATTAGCTATCACACTTGTTCATTTGAAAGAATTCCAAGGGGCCGTTGACAGTGCTCGTAAAGCTAATTCAACTCGTACTTGGAAGGAAGTTTGTTTCGCTTGCGTGGATAGTGGAGAGTTTAGATTAGCACAAATGTGTGGATTACATATAGTCGTGCATGCTGACGAATTGGAAGATTTAATTAATTATTATCAAGATCGAGGGCATTTTGAGGAACTTATTAATCTGTTAGAAGCTGCTTTAGGTCTTGAAAGAGCACACATGGGAATGTTTACTGAATTAGCTATACTTTATAGCAAATATAAGCCTCAAAGAATGAGAGAACATCTTGAACTTTTCTGGTCTCGCGTTAATATACCAAAGGTATATTATTAATTACGGTGCAAATACTTAAATAAAAGGGTAACCAGTATATTATATCTATCAATAAAATTTATAGGTACTTCGCGCAGCAGAGCAAGCACATTTGTGGGCTGAGCTTGTATTTTTATACGATAAATATGAAGAATACGATAATGCAGTTCTTGCAATGATGCAACATCCCACTGAAGCGTGGCGAGAAGGTCATTTCAAAGACGTGATTACTAAAGTAGCAAATGTTGAACTTTATTACAAAGCTATTCAGTTTTACGTCGAATATAAACCCCTACTTCTGAATGATATACTACTTGTACTTGCTCCACGCATGGATCATACGAGAGCAGTTGCATATTTCAAAAGAACAGGGCATTTACAACTTGTGAAACCGTATTTGCGGTCAGTTCAAGCATTAAATAATAAAGCAATTAATGAGGCATTAAACGGTCTACTTATCGACGAGGAAGACTACCAAGGACTCAGAACATCGATTGATGCGTTCGATAATTTTGATAACATTGCGTTAGCACAACAATTGGAAAAGCATGAATTAATTGAATTTAGAAGAATTGCTGCATATTTGTACAAAGGAAATAACAGATGGAAACAATCAGTGGAACTATGTAAAAAAGACCGATTATTCAGGTATGTTACATCGAAATCTTTGAAATTCTATTTATACGATTTTTTTACACTATTAGCTGTTATTCACTGTTTTGTTATATTAACTGAACAGAGATGCTATGGAATATGCAGCAGAATCTCGCAATCCCGAAGTTGCCCAAGAGTTATTAGAATGGTTCTTAGAAAGGGGATCGAAAGATTGTTTCGCAGCATGCCTATTTCACTGTTATGACTTGCTTCATCCAGATGTTATTCTAGAACTTGCGTGGAGACATCGTATTTTACATTTCGCTATGCCGTACCTTATACAAGTTGCACGGGAATATATTACTAAGGTAATAACATATATAATTTAATATGTGTTTGATTAATGACATTTTAAAGTTATAATACTAATTTTATGATTTATTTTATAGGTTGATAAATTGGAAGAAGCTGAAAGTCGACGTATGGAAGAAACTGACCATCAAGAACACAAGCCTATGATTATGCGTAAGCATATATTTTTCTTGCTTTAATAGTATTATTAAATAATAGTAAATACATATAGTATATTTTAAAATAACATTTTATGTTTGTAGCGGAGCCACAATTAATGTTGACAGCAGGACCAGGTATGATGGCACCTGGTTATGCACCACAAGGTGTATATGGTGCACCTCCGCAAAACGTGTATGCACCAACTGCAGCAGCATACCAGGCTTATGGTATGTGAAATACAATTTACAACACATTCGATAACAGAGATCAACAAAATCTACTTTTCTATAATATCTAGGTAGAACAAGATTATTTCAATAGCTCACAATTATTATTAAATGCTGAAACAATATCATTAAAGAGAAAAGCGTTGCCGCAAAATAATTGTAACATAATAAAGATAACGAATTCAAAGTAAACTACAAAATATTTAAGCGCGAATTTCTAGTTTATGGGTAACATTTATAAAATAATTAATTTACTGTTAAAGTAATCAAAGAGTACACATTAATCATTATTTACAAAAGAGAAAACAACCATAATAAGAAAAAAAAATTGTTAGATATTTTGCAAATATACATCATATACGAATTTTTGAACAAGTATGCAATAGTAATAATTTTAATAATTCATGTTGTATTAAAACATTTTAAAATTGAATTTGATAATTTTATGTTACTTTATAAAGTAACTACGACATAGTTTCACTGAGTATCGATGAATTGTGTACGTATGTGCCTTTGTTTAAGTATTGAAAAGGTTTTAGTTTAAGATAACATAAAATGAATGATCTTTAAAAAAAAATACTTGTAAGTTTCACATTAATAAATATGTCACGAAATTACGAAGTGCTTCCTTTTTGGCAAAAAAGAAGAAAATTTGGCTAAAAATATGTAAGTGACTATAAATGAAAACATAAGTACTCAGAGTTGACATTGTTTATGTCCATTCACTGAAAAAGAGAGAGTGGTGAAAATATTATTCTGATATATAATTTGTAGTAATAAAAAGGAATCTATTTATCTAGATTCCTTAGATATGTTATTGTCACAGTCAAATGTATGAGCCTCAAAATACCTAGCAAAAGATAAATGAAAAAAGTGGCATATATCAGTACATCAGTATAACAATAAGATAAAACAAAGCTGAGAAGTCTGTAAACTGTATGTAATGTATCTAGAAACTTAAATATAGTAAGATATTAAATACGTTTGTATGTCTGTCAGTGTATAAGTTTAGTATTTGTGTGTATTATTGCTGTGGCATGGATAAATAAAAATTTAGCATTTGATCAGGCAACCAAAATGTGAAATATAGGATAGTAATGTTATATGCTCTACTAAAGAAATAAAAGAAAAAAGAATGATAATGGAGCTCTCTCATATAATCTCATTAGACAGAGAACGTATTTAAACCGTTGAAAAAGAATAAACTTTTTAACGATCTCGTCATATTGATGTATGGATATATGTACTGAGACTTGTTTATGCTGGCTTACAATATTATGCTCTTACTCTTTTTTGTACACATTAAATTAAAGTATGTAATGCCTATAAAGAAAGTTTAGGGTATTAAAGCATATGAACTAATTATTAATTTTGTTTGCTTTATTAACGTGTTCAGTTTTTAAAACTATGATTTCAAATTTTTTTACTTATTGTATTTGGTTTATATAATGTATGTATAGTATCCTTTTTGGATGTATTGTTCGTTATATCATTGTATTAATGTATAATGAAATTATAATACAAGTATTAATGCAAGTTGGGTGATCAGATTCCAATGCACATGTAGAATGACAGAATCGTATTGTTGACGTTTCTGCTCGTTAAATGATTTACATTGTCTGTATAAAATGCTCTATTAACAAATCAGGATCAGTGTACAAGATATGTCAGATAAATAGTACTTTCTCTGGCATATCTTAAATTCAATGTTCCTGAAAGAGCTACATTATTACATAAGACATTTCGAGTGACATTTTCTTGTCACATATCTCAAAACGAACGAGAGGTATGCACTTATAAATTGTTCTCATTACTCATAAATATAAAACGGAAGTTAAAAGTTAAAAAATTGCAGTACTGTAATATTGATGCAACAAAACATTATTCCTACGTATGAACAATGATTGTTGCAGTAACAATATTGATTATTACGCGACTTTCGTTTGATATTTAATGATTGCAGTAATTTCAGCTGCACGTACTAAATAAAAGTGTTAAAATTAGATGATACAAACAAGAATCTGTAACATTCCCAATAATCACTTCACTTTCATTGAAATTATGTAATGAATGAAATTGTAGATTGAAAAGTGTATTTAATGCCGTTCTGCAAACAGATAGTAATGTAATTGTATCATTGTTTGGATATTGTGGATTAAAATAAAATATTAGTAAATTTAGAAATAAACATACCGAAATTGGTTGTTAATTACACAATTATACATGATCAAAATCACATCTCTGTAATGTTGAAAGTCAGTATAAAATGTGGGACATTTGTCGCTATTAAATTTATTTCAATAAACAACTGTATGACTTGAATGTGTACGTTATGTTAATTTTACATTCCTGTGTATTGCTTCAATATAAAGGGTGCTCCTGAAAGTTAGGTATAAACGAGCACGAAGTAAGCAACGGAAAACAAAATTTTTAATGAACTCAATGAATCGTACCTTAACCGTAACGCCATAACAAAA